GGAACAGATGTTTTGTGAACAGAAAATAAAAAGACAGTCTCTGCTCCCAGGGAGTTTACAGTCTAAAGTAGTAGTTTGAAGAGCTCACTAATGGGATTTGTGGATTTGCAGTCTTTAAGGGAGTCAGAGCTTCATTCTAAAAAAAAATTGCAACTCCACCCACAAGATGCGAGCTAGATAAGTCATCCCAAAATAAAACTCACTGTATAGTGATATAAAGAGTGAAGATTACCTGATAAAAATGGTCTTGGTCCCCTAAAATACAATGTTGGCTGAATAAATTGGAGCTGCTTTATCCTCAGTGACAGAAAAGAAAGGGTTTCTGCTGAGCCCAATTCATTTTGCTTCATGTCCCTCTCTGAAGGGAATGAGCCACGGCTCACAAGATGACCTGAAAAGGTGCCATCCACTCTGCTTTATTCTCTGATTACTTGAATCTTAGTGAAAGATGCAAACCACTGAACACATTATTTACCAGATGTGACAGTGTCTTGCCAGTGGCTCCCTTTTCACAACAACAGTGGTTTGATTCACCCCATGGAAACTCTAAGATTGCAAAAAGGTATTTATTTCAGGCTTCATGCAAAAGAAGTGGGACAAAAGAGTTTGGGTTTGGTTTTAGCAGGACTGTCAAAGGATATATATGTGTATATAGAATGCATAAACAGTCTCAAAGATGCAAAAATTCCTGTTGCTTGGAAATCAGAAGGAACACAAGAGATGTCTTAAAATCTGGCTTAGTGACGCATCTCTGAATTAATTTGTTAATTGGAAGGCATCCATGATTGAAGATGTTTCTGTAGGGATCCCTTGGAATTGGTTGTTGTATCCAGCCCTACTCAGCATTTTCATTATTGTCTTAGAATGTAGTTTACTTCTCTCCTGGTAAAATTTTTAGGTCACCTAAAGCTCAGTATGGTGGTAAATAATGTACCCAGATCATTTTGACACAGAGTGATCTGACTCACATCACTGCAAAGTCACAAACAAAATATATCATAATGCAGCAAAATGCAAAACAGCCCTGGGAACAAATAAAGGATGTTATACTGGAGGGTTGAGAGATTCTTGAGAAGCAATGACTCAGAACAGGATTTTGAGGTCACTGGAGGTAATTGTCTCAACATGAGTTCTCAGTGCAAGGCTTTTGCACCTTCACCTTTGTGAACCTTAGGAGTATTGAAGCCCAAAAATTCTTTGGGGAAGAGGAAGTGGTCTCTTTTCTGCACCCAGTATTGCTGACACAGTGCTGTGTCCAGTGTTGGTGTCCACACATAAAAGATGTGAAATTACTGGAAAGAGATCAAAGGATGTCATGCACCAAAACATCCAGTGGATGGGAAACAAACCTTAAACTGGGAATTTTGTTCTTCCTTAGCTGTTCAGAGAAAAGATTTGAAATGGATTGTTGTTCTGTGTGGAGGTACTTGCACATGGAAAAGACATCAGAGCATGCAGGGCGGAAGGAACTATGGTAATTTTATGGACAAAGGTCAGACAAGACCAGTTGTGGGATACTGGAGTTAGGCAAATCCAACCTTGAAATATGACACAGTTCCCTAGCAGTAATTAAGCATTTCAGAAGTTTATTGAAGGAAGTGGTTGACTCACTGTAATCAGCTCTCTTTGGTATATGATATATTTTTCTAAAACACAGGCTTTAATCCAGTTCTGGGTGGGAAAAAAATCGACAGCCTATGGGTATAAGAGGTCAGACAAGCTGATCATAGTAGCCTTAAAACATATGAATTGCAGTAATCCCCCTATGCAAGACTTTAAACAGAGATAATTTAGCAACACGTTTGTTCTCTGCTCTGAAGTTCCATGGTCATATTACAGTTATACTTAATTAGGGAAGCTGTCGCTTTTTAAAACCAAGGGCTGTATAAAGGCATCCATAACTAAGAACTTACTTGCAGCCTACCTGTGCTCTGGGAGCTACTGGAGTTAGGAATCCACATGCAGGGGATGGATCTCTGTGGCTTTGCTGCTGCTAAACTTGGGGTGCAGAGGGCATTGACCCCATGTTCACCTTCCCCTGTTACCTGTCTGAAAAATTTGCAGTGATCTCTAATGAAAATTCACCTGTATGCTTTATGGATTTCAAAGGTGTTTTGAATTACAACTTCATATTGTTTTGTTGAATTGGACAGTTAATGCCAGAGTCATGGGTCAGGAGCTTCTCGCAAATGTCGCTTTATCCTCACTCTTCTGATGGATCCAGTGAGAGATCTCAGGGCATGAAAAGTCATAGCTGTGTACACTGTCGTTGTATCTGCTGACAAGTCACTGTAGGGTACCACTTGGGTGACTTTTGGACCATACACTAAAAAACCCCAAGAAAACAGTATGCACATGGAGACATCACTACTTATGATCTTGTAGATTAACTCATGCTGTTCTGCATGACCCAGACAAAAATAGCCATTACATTTTCCTAAGCTAAAGAAATGCTTTGTCCAGAAACTGCTTTTACTATTAGAGGGAGTTGAGTAGCTAAATGCCATTTCAGCCCTCAAGTGCCTTCATGAATTTAGGACATCAGTGACAAACCTTTCTGGTGTAGTTTTCCTCAGTTTATTCCATTTAGGTCCAAAACACATTAGTTGAAAGTCTTATCTGCAGATGAGTCCTCATCATTCTCACCTGTTCAAAACATTGTCCTCTGCGTCTGTTCTCCAAACATTTATCTACAGTTTCCTGCAAAGACAACATTTTCTTGCTGTCTTGCAGTTTCAGGCCTCAAAACACATTTCTGATGCCTAGAAAAAAGACAGGTTAATGAAGAGGTATGGTACTGGTGGTTTGCCATCCTTTCAGCCAAGTGTCTGTAGCCTTAGAAAACATTATTAATGGGTGTGAGAAAATGACATTTTATCTTGCTTGAAACTGTAGTCATTATAGTAACAAGGCTGGTTTGTTGTTTGTTTTTCTTTTTTTTTTTAGCAGGTAGTTGTGACTAAGCCTGTTGCATCTAAGCCAGTCTGTGTTCTGTGAATGGTCTCTCAAATTCCATCTGAGATTTGACCTTCCAGAATCCTACCGATCTAATCATCTGCAGCAAGCAATTTTTTTAATGGGCAAAGAAATTCTAATTAGTTCTTTTTCATTATCACTAGTCATCAAGAGAAAAGGCCAGTGGATAGGTTTAGTGTCCAAGATGAACATTTTTTGTGGCAATTTTGTGAGGAGTTATAAAGATGTAGAGATGTTAGGACAGACAGAGGTATGGGTAACAGATGGGATTTTTCAAAGCACTGTTGCTGGCTTAATAGTGCTCCCATTATCATTAATGGCAAGCGCAGAGCACTTGTAGAAATGACCCAGTGTCTGTGTCTGTGTGTGTGTCTATGTGTGCACAGAGCAGGTTCTCATTGTCTTTGACCTACTTGGAAGCTCTGGGAGCCCCTACCAGGCTTGTTCAGCTTTCTGTGTGTGAGTAACCACATGAAAGATTATGTCAGTGATTCAGTGATGTTTTAAACACTAAACTGTTCCAATATTGGAACAGGTAACTCAACAGAATCCAAGTCCATGATGTGTGAGCCATCTTAAGTACTGGAACAATGAAAGATGAGATTTCATCCTATTTATATTGCAGTAAATACAAAGTAATGCCAATAACATTAGTGAAAGGACTTCTAATTCATACTGGTAAAAATGGGACAAAATGGAAGCTCACAAACAGTAATAATAACAAAATGTCTTGTTTTAATTTACTGTTTCTTTGAGGTAAAAAAATCCATTATCCTGAAAACTAAAACTTTCATCCCCCTTCAGGAGGGCTCTGCCTCTCAGGACAGTGTTGCTCTCCAGGCACATTCATTTCTAGCCTGTCTGCTGGAGTTGTTAGTAGGATGCTTGCTGTAAAGGTGGTGTCTGTGACATATGGAGCTCTCAGCAGCTGCACAGAGACCAACCACTCATTTCACATGGGTCTGGGAACAGCCATCACATGGTAGTAATTTTCATTCCCTGTCAAACTGTCTTGCTTCAACTGATGAGTTGGAAGTGAAGGGCTCCGTATCCCATTACCCCAGAACAAAAACATCCAGTTCCCTTATCTGATTTAAAGATCTGTCTCTACTACATGCTAACAACTTTTATTGCTAAATGTGATGCTTCATCAAATATCTTTTGAGCTTTTTTTGGTATTTCTTTTCCTGTCACTGCTTTTTACTGTGCTGTTTGCAATGAGCAGTGGCATCTCCAAATGAATGGGGCATGTTGCTATGGCGGTGGGAGGGGGAGTGGTACTGTCTGCATTTCATGGCTTGACAGGTATGCAAACCCTTATTTTACTGGAGTACACTCAGCAAACCTTTTCATGTGTGTCCACTGCTGTTATTGTTGTTACTATTAATTTAATGGTGCTGAAAGTGCAAGATTTATATCCTGAGAGTTTGAGGTCATCTGTTACTGTGTTGGTATCAAATCAATGTGACCAAGGTCAAAAGAGATCAAACCTTCCCAGCAAAATATCCTATACTTTCTACTCTATTTTACTAAGTTACATGTATAGATGTATAGATCTCTCTGCAACCATGGTAGATACCATGGCTTTATTCACTATTCAGTCCTGCTGAAAGCAAACCTGGTAGCTTTGGTGTGATGTGATTATTAGAAGAGGGGTACAGAAGTTGTGTATTTTGGCAAAAAACCCCACAACAATCTCTGGGGGCTCTGGAGTTTGTTATCAAAGTGACTGAGTTGTGGAATGGCACATCCTAGGATTAATCTAAAATATGCTTTTTTGACAGCTCAGTCTCATATATGAGTTTTCATGTATTACATACTACTGCATATTTATGCAGCATATTTATGCTATGTATTAATGTGTATTTTGAGTTTCTTATTGTGACTTTAAGAGAACATGCCTTACTCAATGTTAATGAAAATCCACATTTCTCTGTTGTCTGCATTGGAAGGAGTTCTTGCAACCTCAAGTCTGCAGTACTCCATGTTTCCATTGCTCTAAAATGTTCCTTACCCTTCTGTAGATGGCCTGGTGGATTGCATGGACCCAGACTGCTGCTTGCAGCCACTCTGCCACGTTAATGCTCTGTGCCTGGGCTCCCCGGACCCCCTGGATATCATCCAGGAGACACAAGCCCCCGTCTCCCAGCAGAGCTTGCATTCCTTCTATGATCGAATCAAGTTCCTGATTGGCAAGGACAGCACTCACGTCATCCCAGGGGACAATCCTTTTGAAGGCGGGTAAGTGAATTTTGGAGTTGATTCAGTAAGTGGTGAAGCATAAGCCACTTGGCCATTTTAAGACATGGAAGGGCAACAAGATGCAGAATAATGAAAATTTTTTAATGAAGTAGGTACTTGAAGACTTTTGTGGCTGATGTAGTTCTGCTGACTGTCTCTTCGGCTACAATTTCCTGCCAGCCAGTATGGCAAGATGCTTCTCTTCCAACATATATGAGCAGTTCCATGTTTGCTCACTTTCCTTATTTCAAGGAGTGAAAGGTATCCATTCAGCTCTTCTAGATCAAGTGATTGACATTGTGCACAAGTATCTCCTAAAGAGCAGAGACAGATCTTCCTTTGACAGAGACAAAAGAGAAGGAAACTAAAATTTTGTGATCTATAGTGTGAATATTAGAGACTTCAGAAGAACTGAGGAAAATCATACCATCTAGAGATGGCTGTTAGAGTGATTTGCAATATAAGCAATCAGGTTGAATATAGATTGGTTTTAAAATCAAGAAATTCTTTATAGCTGCAGTCATCATCAAGAAGCAGGAACTGGGAAACAAAACATAGTAGTTCACTTCTGTGACTGCATCTCAGGATTTTGGTTAAAGTATATTCCTGTCTGTCAGGGCTGATCATCCCTGAAAATCATTTGTTGTAGCAGGGTAACTGGAGTGTCAAATTCCTAGATCACTCAGTGTCTGCCCTGAATGGTGTCTTTCAGAAGTAGTGACCCTGATCCTAGAGGTGGCTGTCAACACATAGGTTTGAACTCTGTTGAGCTTCACCCAGTCATGAACTGCTTACTTTCAGCTTTCCCACACACAGCAGTTAATAGGTTGGCACTGAAAATACCCAATCTTCATGTTTGTGTGGGTATTTATTTCAGCACTTACATCTCAAGTGGCCTATCAGGCCCCTCCAGCTCTGACTTAATGCTTTTCATGGAGGGACACTGCCAGCATCTCTTGGGTACCAGCTCCCCGTCAGCCTGTTTTGGTAGTCTACAGGCTGACATCATCACAGCAGTGTCAGGAAATTGGCCTGGTGTGATATTTGCCCTGATACTTGTTGCTTCCAAGATCGTCAGGGTCCAAGAAAACTGACAACAGTGACTCAGATTATAACCACTTCTATGTTGCAAATTGTTGTCCTTCATTGGCATTCTGAAGATCACAGGTACTGGATAGAGATTCAGAATTCAAAATGAGCACCTGCTAGCATAAATGTCTGTCTGGTATGTAGGTTACTGGAGTGAAGGAATGCAAAGATTCAGATCGATAGGAAGGGTTTTAATGACTGCTCTTGATTAAATGCAGTGGAAGTAATAAAACTTGTTCTACTTAAGTTAGGATGAAGAATTATACAGAGGTAGCAATAATTTATGAGGTTTCTATTCTCAAATTAGCAGCATAGGATGTGTGCCACTAAGTGTGGTCTACAGATATGTCACCTCAAGCTGGGATTGTATTGCATCTCTCAAGTTAAGTATCTTGATTTGTAAGAGTGATTGCAACTAACATTGAAGAACCTCAGCAGAGGGTATATTTTTCCCTGAGACAGCACCTGGTCCAGACTCATGAGAGTGTTGGGTTGTTGAAAATGCCACTACTCTTTTGGGGATTTAAAAGACATCACATGTTCCTGTTAGTTCTTAAAGATCCTGTAGATTTGGATAAACTCAACCATTGCAAAGGTTTTCTGGTTATTTGGCCTCTCTCTGTAGTTCAGTTGCTTGTTTCACCTCCCCAAAAGCTGGACCTTTGAACAGCTCCTCTGGTCACCCTGGAAATGACAGTGCTTCAGCAGTAGTCAGTGACTGATATGTGGGAAAGCATGGTCTGGGACCATCTGGGACCCAGTTAGGCTGGACAGGCAAGACTGCCTGTTTTTGCATGTGTGGATATGCCCTTTATTCAGTAGCATTGTCACTGAAACTTCACCAGTTGCCTTTCCAACAGACAGGTAATAATATCCCTGTTATCCATGGATCCCTGCTCAGTGTCTCTATAAAAATCACAGCAGCCGATGGGGGCAAGGTGTGCTGTTTTCATCACTCCTTCCAGCTGCTGGCTTAAAAGTTTGTCTGACAAGAGAGAGTTATTCTTATAGAGGGCTCCAGCATCCTGCTTTAGGACAGCCCTCTCCTGTTACTGATGGGATAATTCATGAAGTCGTCTCCTTCTTGGTGTAGATCAGGACTGTAGACTGCTGTTCGTGGAACTTCCTATATCTTTCTGTCCCAACGCCATCGTCCTCATGGAGTAGGGTTGGAGTTGGATCCGTGTCATTTGCTGTGAGCAATCCCCCATGAGCAGGCAACACAGAGGTGGCGTGGATCTCTGTGTCCTGTGTGTCTGGCATCCTGCATGGGCACCAGAGGCACAGGCACACTCACCATTCAGGTCAGGAACTGAGTGCTCCTCCAGGCTTCACTAGGTCATGGCTGACCGATTATCACCCTGGGAGAACTGGGGCACATTTGCATTCCTGTCTGGCCTGTGCGGAAGTGGCAGCAGCATGGAGGAGGTGACTGAATATCTCTGCAATATATTTCCTGAGCTTCAAAACTACAGCTAAGCCACTTTTCAGAGAGAACAGCAGTGCGGATCACCTAATGGATACAAATAAATGAATGTCTCGTGACAGCTAGCCTTTGAGTGAATTTATTATTGAATTACACTCTGGCTTCTTAAGAACAAGCTGAGCTGACAAGCTCTCTCACCAGCGCAGAAGAAGAAGAAAGACAATGATAAATTACTCTGATGGATAAAGGCAAAGACCTTGTCTCTTCCCAAATACCAGCAATTATATATTATTCATGTTTGGGAAGAAAAAATAATCATTACCCATATTGAAATGAGTGTTTATGATGATAAAGCAAGTAGCCAAATTAAATTTTGAATGCGCAGAATGTCTTTTCGCATCATTTTGATGAACAGATAACAAGTACTCCTCTACTATTTGGTCATTTTTGTATTGATTCTGAAACCACTTACTCTTACTGTTAGCTTTGTTGTTTTTAAGCCATTCTTAGCTGTCCATCACCATAAGGAGTAGCACAAGATGCAGTGGTGTCAGTAAGTTGACTATAAAGTAGGATACCTGAAATATTTGTTCTCTTTTGAGGGTTCATAAAATAGCAAGAACAGTCCTGGTCCACAGTCTTTTATGCTAAGTGTTGGCATGGTTAAAGTGCCTCAGAAAACCATGTGTAGAATTGGCACTTTTGTAAAGAGAATTTCAAATAATTCAATTTTGAAGTAACTGTGTTTTATACCCCTCCTTTTTTGAGACAGATTGTGTATATCTACTTGCTGCCAATAATATCAACCTGCTCTGATTACTTGGGCAGCTAGAAATAACCATCTGAGTTACATGAAACATCAGAGAGCAGCATTTGTTATTAGCTGCAAGAGTAGTCCCCGATTGCCCTCAGGTCAGTAGTCTGCATAAAAAGTTGGTTTTGATGATTTAAAATTCTGATCAAATTAACTTTGTACATTTTTTTCCCATTACTGAGTGACAAGGCATCTGTAAACATGTCACTCAACCTTCCTGTGTCCCTTCTGTGTGCCAGGCAGAACAGTGTACCTTACTGATCCAGGTGGAGAGGGTTACACAGCATAGTTAGAAACTCAGAGAGACAGGTATGCTCTAGGCGCTCATGTGCACTGTTTTACTGTGAATAAATAAATAAATAAATGGGGTTTAGTGTCAGAGTTAAATTGCATTCGTCCCAAGTCTAATTAAAACCAAAACTGTGAATATTGATCATGGCCAAAGAAGAGCTAAGAAAATAGGGGGGATCAAAATGTTTTTTCAGAATGTTTTGGTGGTCCTTCTGGTCACTCCTAAGTGATTTTGAAGAACATTGCTGTGTTTTCTTAGTATCCTTGAGGGAGTTTGCCCAGAGAACCTGGGGCTGCCTTATCCCTGGAAGTATTCAAGGTCAGTTTGGATAGGGCTCTGAGCAATCTGATCTAGTGGTAGGTGTCCCTTCCTATGGGAGGGCATTGGAGCTGGATGGTCTTTAATGTCCCTTCCAACACAAACCATTCTCTGATTCTATGCATATATTCAAAGCATCTTCTCTTTTCTTTTCACACATTTAGTCCCATTCATGGAGGGCTGTGGGTTCACCCCAGCAGATCTTTCTGAGATTTCTTCCCAAGGAAACCAAGGTGCTCTGTCTTTTCCATGTTTTTCCATCAAGAAAAGTGTGACTTTGATACAGTGACCTAAGAAACACTTCTTTAGTTGAAGACAAAGTTAGAGGTCAAAGAACCGAAACTTACCAGGTGTAGCTTTAATCCTGATGATTTCTCCTGAGCTGGCTGGTCCAGCCCATGGCTCTGGTCCAACTCCAGGCAGATGCAGCTCCCTTCATCAGCAGGAAATTCTCTGGGTCAGATGCACCCACTGTACACAGACACCCAGAAGCAGTGGGGTGGGTGGGACAGCTTGGTTAGCACAGCTTGGAATGCTGCATCTAAAACTTTGTCATAGAGATTAAACAGCATCCAGTGTTCTGAGGGTGAGCACTCATGGCACAGCATGGTACCTGTATTGATGGAAGCAAGGTCATATTTTTCCATATTTTAGAACAGGCTAACACAGCAAGTCTTCAGACCCTTTTCTTCCTAGCATTATTGTCTTCCAAAGGCATCATTCTTCTTTTGATGCCTTCTACTCATATGAACTCCTTATTAGGTACAAGTCATAGCTTTTTAAAAACTTACTGTTTTTTATTTTGGTAATTAATCCCTTCTAGAGGAATTAAGAGCAAAGCATACTTTTAAAATTTATCTTTCCTATGTACAGGGCTTATTTTCTTTACCAGTGTTTGCCCTCTGATTTTGAGTTTAGCATAACATTATTCCCATATAATAAATTATATGGCTACTTACATCAACTTTGTGGAATTTGTACCTGCAAGACTTAATGAAAGTAAAACTCCTGTCCATATTTATGTTCTTTTCCATGACATAGATAGTGTAACCATGAGGCAA